AAGTGTATATTAAGTGTATATTAAGTGTATATTAAGTGTATATTAAGTGTATATTAAGTGTATATTAAGTGTATATTAAGTGTATATAAAGTGTATATTAAGTGTATATAAAGTGTATATTAAAGTGTATATAAGTGTATATTAAGTGTATATTTAAAAGTGTATATCACGTGTATATTAAGTGTATATTAAGTGTATATTAAGTGTATATAAAGTGTATATTAAGTGTATATTAAGTGTATATTAAGTGTATATAAAGTGTAAACAAAATGTGTGGATTTTCAACAGTTTTTACATGACTACAGTTTTATTACGACTGCTGTTTCTGCTGCACAAAAGTAGCTCTCGGATCAAAAGCAGTCCCTGCTCTGGTCTGTATGTGATTAATGTAAGTTCAGAGCTGGAGCTCACTTCATGTGAAAGTCGTCTTCAGAGAATAATGACGTCTGTTTGTGATAAGGTCCTGCGTCCTTGTCCAGACCATAATAAATGTCACAGAGACAAGAGTCTTATTTTCCTTCATGTTTGTAAAGTCTTTGAAGAAAATGAGGGACAGGGATCACAATATTTCACAGAATCGAAACACAAACTGTCTGTATCACGATATGTTAAGAATCACGATCATATTGAATTTTTGCCCAAATATTGCAATGCTAAAAACCATGCTTTTAATAATACAAAATCACAACAGCCATCTGAATTAGAAAGGTCTGTACATAATGGAGGATCTGCCAATTTAGTAAATCTAATAATGAACGTCCTTATTCTGTTAAAATATAAATAAATAAACATTAATGGACATTTATCAACACTCATGGACAATGGTACAACTCCCTATGGACCATACTTTACTCATCTCTGCACTCACTCCGGGCACCTGGTGGTGGCAGCTTTTCTTCAGCAGGGACAGGGAAGAGTGTCAGAGTTGAAGGTGGGTGGGGCTAAATACAGAACGATCTAAGAAGACAAGTTGCAGGAGTCAGTACAAAACCAGAGACTGGTGTACGTCATGTGAAGGTTGAAGGTCACCAATGCTCCCAAAAGCCTCTCACAGGCTTTCATTTTATTTTCATTTATTTCTACGAACAGTGGACTAGAAGGATGTCAGGGGTCTCTACACCTCTTCAATCGGGGAGCTACTTTTAACCCTTGTATTATGTTAAAAAAAAATGACATTGATTATGTTGCGGGTCATTTTGACCCGCACTGTGTAAATGCACTCAAAACAGGCCAACAAAACAGCTTAAACCAATAACAATTTTATTTTAGGTTATATAAACATTTAGAAAAGTGACACAAAATACATTTTTAATTCCAACACTATATTTTAACTTTAACTTCAACTTTAACTTCATCCGAACTTCAACATTTTCAATGTTCTCCACATGATGGACAGAATGTTACTGTGTGCTTTCTGCAGAAGTATTTCTTGCATTTCACACAAGAGGTACTTGTTTTACTGTCCTCTCGGGATGGACATACCTGGCATCTTTTCCTTTTCTTTCCACCTGTGTCCACTGGATGTTGGTTGGTTATCTGGATCTTTGGAGTGACAAGTGCTTTGCCGAGTTCTTCCAGGAAAAGCCGACGTCTGTACAATTTGCCGGCATTCCATTTCTGGTTGATTGCGGTCCACAGGACATAGGCATTGTAAGCAGACACGTCCACAATGTTGTAGAATATCACCAAAGGCCAACGGGCTGTCTTGCGCTGGCAGCTGTATGTTGCTGTGACTTTGTCCAGATTGTCAACTCCTCCTTTGGTGGAGTTATAATCCAGGATCATTTGTGGCTTCATGTCTTCTCTTGTGCTCAGAGATGCATCCGTGTGCATTGTACTCATTACAAGAACATTCTTGTTTCTCTTTGGGCAGTATGAAACAACTGTTGCTTTCTCAGTGAAAGCAAATATTGGGGAATGCAGAGGTCTGCCCTGCATCTTCAGAATTTCGGTTGGAAGTTCTGGCTTATTTCTTCTGACTGTTCCCAACATGGTCAGCTTTCTCTTCTGAAGTTCATCTCCAAGGCGGTAGGATGTAAAGAAATTGTCACATGTGATGTTATGACCTTGCAGCCCTTCACTCATTTCCAGCACCACACGCATCCCCTGATTCTTCTCAGATGTTCCTCCAGGTAGCTTTCCAGTGTATACTTGCATATTCCATGCATAGCTGGATTTTGCATCACAGGCTGCCCATATTTTGATGCCATACTTGGCGGGCTTGTTGGGCATGTACTGTCGGAAAGGACAGCGCCCCCTGAATGGAACAAGGCGCTCATCTACAGTAACATGGGGACCAGGATTGTACAACAAAGATACATTTTCAACCCATTTATCCCACACATCTCTGATCGCAGCTAGTTTGTCTCTTTCACGTCGACCAGCTCTGGTATCGCGGTTGTCAAAGCGGATCACACGAGATATCATGTGGAATGTCTCCAGAGACATTGTTGCACGAAAGATTGGCCTTCCATTCTCTTCATTCCATAGACTTGCAGTGGCTTCTCCCTTTGACCTGTACACTCCAGCTAATAACAGAACTCCAATGTAAGCATGCAAGTCAATCTGATCCAGTGGCTTCCATTTCTCTTGAAACACACGTCTCCCCTCCAAGTTGGTCATTTCCAGTATAATCCTCTCTATTGGTGGGGATATAAAGAGCTGAAATGCTGATTGAATCTCATCAACTCGTGTGACAGCAAATCTTGTAGGACCGGGAGTCATTTTGATAACATTGGAAGATGATAGTCTGCCTTGGCACGGGTGTGGTGATGTTGACCATTTTATATTACCGTCCTTAGATGCCCATGTCCCCTCTGTAGATGATGATTGCTGTATTCCTTGGGGTTCATCTGTTGGAGGAACAACGGCAGACTCGTCCTCTGAATCCTCCTCATCGAATGAAAATTGACAATCTGGATCAGCAATTAAATTGTCCTCTGTCTCTGAAAAATCCTCTGTTTCTGAAATCTCTTCCTCTACATCACTATCCCAGTTAAAAATCTGTGATAAAGCCTCCTCAGATGTCATCCTTCTGGAGCTCATTTTTGGTGAGTTTGTCAAAGAGATGACATGAGAACAGTGACGAGGACAAGTGTGAGAAAGTTCCCTCTCTTCACACACCTGGCTCTCGGTCTCAGAGGCAATCAAAATATAAACAATTGTACATCAAAGTAAAAAGTACATCAAAGAGACATGTTTCTCTCATGATCTGAACAGCTATTTACTAACATTAAAGCGTCAGGGTCAAAATGACCCCAACATCATCTTTGTATACAAACTCTGCACAGACATTCCACTACACATCAAAGTGTCCAGATTTTACACACCAGTTCATGACCCTAGATGAGGAAAAGTCACCAAATTTCAGCAAGAAAAAGAAAGGATAACCAGTAGTTTGATCAACACAAAAACTGAAATGGGTCAAATTGACCCTTAACATAATACAAGGGTTAAACAGACGAAGAGGCAGAGAGCTGCTCCTTTTTGCAGTCGTAATAAAAATCTATCTAATGAGTACAACAAAGCTTGGATAACACATGTAAAATATACCATAATACTGTACAGCCCTATATTTATACTTATATCAGATGTGTAATGAGTCATTCAAGATCATTTGTGAAATTCTAATTCCTTTGGCGAGCTACCTGAAAGGGGCTGGCGAGCTACTGGTCAGAGTATATAATGTCCTGCTGTAGAGGACATTAGAATCCTCGTAATGAATGAATTTAAATGACATGATTTAGTTAAAATAAATTAATGTAAAACAAATGTATATTTGCATATATGTATTCTAAGTACATGCTTATTTCTCTTCTGTTTGACACTTGATATTGTTTACGATAAATGTTTGTGTTTGTTTCTCGTGGAAGTTTGTAAATTGGGTTAGGCACAATACGTTTTTTACTTCAGCCTAAACCCTTTCGGTCGTTTGTGCACAAATTATGATGCTGCTTGTTTTATGTTTTATGTTTAAAGGAATGAAATGACCGAATAAACTACTACTACTAAACTACTACTACTCGTCTGTGGGTGATTAAAGGCTGAGAGGGAGATTTGTACGTTTCCCACTCGTCAAAAGTCGTTCAGTTTAACATGACGAATAACACAATCTTTGGAGTTTAGTAACTTTGGAGTTTAGTATCTTTGGAGTTTAGTGAGTGGTGTGTGTAGTGTGTGTTTGTAATCCTCATTGTTCTATTGGTACGTGTTTGTGTACTTTTGACTCTTCCATCTTCACTCACTTGTGTCGGCCATCTTAATGTGTGCCTCTCAACACGACGGTTCTTGGATTCAATGTCTGAGTGAAGTTTGGATGTCCTCTCAGTGTCTGTGTAAGTATCCTCCAGGTGCTCCGGTTTCCCCTCACCACTGAAAGCACGTGCAGAAGGTAAATCCTCCAGCTCTGGTCCTGACAAAGAGCGCCAACATCTGGAGATGGCCCCACTGCTCCTGACAGTCGCCCGAGAGGCTTCAGGGCCAAATGTAGAAGACTAAACTGGACCATAATCTGTAACATTTACAAATTATAGGATGCCACCTGTACACATACACACATATATACACACACACACATATATACACTCACACGTCCTAAAACAAAAAATAGAACCTTACATTATGAAAGCAGATGAAAGTCGTAAGTACTGCAGATTTCTGTCAAGTAGAATGTCGGTGAAAGCAAGTAATCATTGTTTATATAGTGTAATGTTATTGTAATGCCTTTGTCAGACCACTATAGTGTATATTAAACATTGTCCCTTTAAGATACAATGGAATCAAAGCTGTTTGAGAAGCAATACAGATTCTTAACACATCTTTTGTTCGATACAAATTCATGGCGGCCATGACGTGCCTTTCATTAATTGATGCACGTTCATTACGTCTCAGCGCGAACCTCTGAACAAAGTTGGTGTCAGTCAAACTCAGATCCATCCAATCAGCTCACACGTCCTCACGCTCGGCCAATCAGCGCCCCCTGCATGCGGAGGCGCGCTTCCTTATTTGGGAGTAATTTCCTTAGATGGCAGCGCGGGGGGCGGAGCGGAGGGCGGGGGCAGGGCTGACCCAGAGGCCGAGGTGCGAGGCGTGTTCTCAGTGCGCGTCTGTGCCCTGATTCAGCCGTCATCCCGCCCGGTCCCATGCCCTGCTCCGTGCCCTGGTCCTGGGACAGTGTGATTGTACCGCCCGTGGAGACGCCCTCTCTCTGGAGCCTGCAGCGGGAGGCCCCTGGAGCCTGTGCGAGTGCCTAGAACCCGGCGGAGATCTGCGTTTGCGGGAGGAGCGTGTAGCAGAGCCGTGCGCCATGAGGAGCCAGCGTCCAGTGCGTGTGTCCGGACTTTAGTGCGTTCAGCAGCACTGGCAGATCTTCTTCTGTTCATTTTCTCCTGTAATCATCAGTGTCCTCTATGAATGTTAAGATGAATATTGTTCAGAACACGCTATAGCCCTCACTTAATTTTTCACTGAGGAAAAACTACTCTAACTTTCTCCAAAAATTACTTTGGTACCATATAAGAGCGGATCTGACCCTGACCAGGAGTGCGTTCGTCCTGAATCCTGATGTAGATTCTGCTTCGACAGATCCAGAGTCTATTCGTGCGTGATTCCGATACTTCTGACACGGCTGGAGAGAGCATGGCAATGGTAGTAAACCAGTGGCAAGAGAACATCCCGGAGGCCGGCGCGCAGCTGCAGTTGTGCGGGCCTGAGTCCGTGGGGGCCCCGGGGACTCCCAGCGGCTCCACCCCCGGACAGGACGCACTCTCCGCGGACAAACTGCCGAACGTGGACTGCATGGTGTGCGGGGACAAGTCCAGCGGGAAGCACTACGGCCAGTTCACTTGTGAGGGCTGCAAGAGTTTCTTCAAACGCTCCGTGCGCAGGAACCTGTCCTACACCTGCAGAGGGAACCGGGACTGTCCCATCGACCAGCACCACCGCAACCAGTGCCAGTACTGCCGCCTCAAGAAGTGCGTCAAAGTGGGCATGAGGAGAGAGGGTAAGCGCGCTCCTCACACCCGACACTGGACGCTCTCCACCGGGGTCTGCAGCTCGCCCTCTTCCACATCATTTTAGTCACATGCTGCACAACTATTGCAAATCCCTGCTTCAGATTAGAGCACGAATATATTATGATAGATTGTGTTATGGGTATAAGAGTGCATTGGACGAAAAAAATGAACAATAACAAATAAAAACAGCTAAAAAAGTTATACATTTCCCAAATGTGGCTAAATTAATTATAGAATATTGTGACGGTCTTAAAACTAAGATTTAAGATTTTCCAATGGAATAAATAATACAATTGCTGTACCATGCTTTATATAAGACTAAGCTGTTTTTTTATCATTTCAAAATCCTTTAATTTAAATTTTAATAACTCCTTCCGTCATTCATTCCTTGCAGCACACAGATGTTTTGACTTTCTCTCAAATCTCTAAACGAGAAGCTCGCTGTCGCTTTAGTCCCGAAAAAGTAGTTCTCAGGGAAACGGTTGGAGACCCCTGCTGTACACTCTACAGATAGAAAAATGTGTGTGTGCGCGTGTGTGTGAGCGTGCGCGTGTGTGTTTTTGTTAGGTACTTTCTTATATATAGTTTTACATGTTTGTAATTGTTTTCTCATTTAACTTTTAAATTAATTATAAATATGAATAAGTTCCATATCACTTCATAATATCAGTATTTTATCGCTAATATCTGTCGTCTGAAGTCTCTAACTTGCACATGACCAGATCAGTTTCAGATTAATTCATATTTGCATTAGTTCCCAGAGTGCACCAGACAAGCACAGACAGCACATAAAACAATCTAAAAACAGTACGGAAACAAATCCTCGCTGAGAAACCATTTAACAAAAACAGTTGAATAATGGATCAGATGAAGGTGCTTTGATCAGAGCGTGGAAAGAATGCGTCACTTTCTTGGGACGAACACTGACGTTTTCTGCGAAGGTTATGTGAAGGTTTCCTCCGGGTGCTCCGGTTTCCCCTACCGCTTAAAACACGTACAATAGGTCTGAATGCAATGAGTTGGGGGCTTTGATGCATCAGTGTGTTCGGCGTCTCACTTCCGTCTTCACCGCGTGTGAATGGAAAAATATCTGATTGCTTTGGGTGACCTTGGTCTGTAAAATGCGCTAAATAGATAAAATATAAAAAATAGAATATAAGATTGTAAATATTTTCATTATCATTCTGAACAACCTCAAACCCCCAGGTATGCCTTGTCAGTTTGCATTTACCCTTTTTGAGAAACAAGCACATCCAAAACAGAACAAGTGGCTCAGTAGGTATTTCTGTTTTCTTCTGCCTTCTAAAACAAAAGAATTGTCCATAAATACTGTTGTTTTTCTTTTTAAAGCAATTGCAACAAACAAATTCACTTCCTCCCTCCGGTGGACAGGCGGGTCATTTTTTTTTTTTTTACCCTTCATACTTGTTTCACCGTATAAATTCTACTTTAGAGATTTAAGAGATGCCTAAAACATGAAATTAAAGTAAATAGTCGCATTGTATTTTTTTAAAGGTCAAATATAATGCGTTATGTTTCTTCCATAACAATAAGTGGATTGCGTGTTAGAAAGTCCCACCATTCTGCCGCTGCTTCCTTTTAAGTACAACCTATTCCTGTGTAATTAACTGTATTTGACCTTACTCTGAATATCCACCTGTGGTCTTCTCTTGGTTCACTGCCGTCCCTTAACTGCACCTTTTTATTGTACAAAATAGATAAACATTACTTCAAATTAAACATTACTACACACAAATGTTACTTTCAGACACAATGCTACTGTTTACCTTCTGTTTGAGTGAGTAGTGTTAATCCTCCGGTCTACACCTCTTCTTGACCACGTTTTATTTCGACTTTTAGAGTTTCTCGGCGGAGTCCATGTGTCCAATCTCGTCTGTCACTGTCACCATAGCAACACATGTTATGAGATGTACGACTGGAAGATTGCGATTTTAGTTTTAATTAAACATTTTTGCCTCGAGTTCTGCTCCAATGCAATAAATCAGTGTTCCCTAAACATTTGTCGCCGCGGAACATATTTGTCGAGTTGCTTTTCTTCACCAGAAACTGAAACTGAAACAACAAATGGAACAAAAACAGGTATAATGCTTAAAGGTTTTTAGGAGGAGTTTCCCAAATTTTAGGAAAGAACCGCCCTCTCCACTCTTTCAACAAAACTCTCTGGTCTTATTTGACGAGCACCAGAATGATTGACAGTTATGAGGACCAATAGTCTTGATGATCCACCCGGAAGTAGAAAATCCTCCTATATACTTTATTATACATAACTAATTAGTAAAGGTCTACACCGATAAAACTGATTCAAAACCAATGTTCGCGGTACAACAAAAGGAAGTAAGGGCGATCACATTATCAGCCTGTACGACGAGCCACAAATGCACCCTTTACAAATCTCCAAACATTAAAATTTTATATGATTTAGTCGATCTTTACCTCTTGATATTAATGCTTCAGATAAGAATGGCTTCCTGTCCAAACCAGCGCAGAGAGGAGCAGAGGTGTTCGTGAAGCAGACTTTTAGAAGTAATGCAATGAAATGTTGTTTATCTGTGAAAGCGTCGATCTCTGGATGCACAGATGATGCACTTTGATCAGTTTAAACCTTTTTCTCTGGATTCATGAACTCAGGATCTGGATTTTTATACAGATGCTTCTCAATTCAATTCCATTTCTTTGTGTTTCGCCCCAAAATCACAACAGTAGTTTTCTCAAAGGACTTATCTAGGCTACTTTACTTTACTACTTTGTGGCCATACTTTCATGAAAAAGTCAGATCCTGGCAGACCTCTGATGCCAAGTTGGGCAGGGCTTGGTTAGTGCTGTGATGGGAGACACTTTAATCATATTGCCTAGAAGAATGAGTCTGCTGTGTGTGTGAATGGTGGTTGGAGGTTAGTTGGTGGAGATCGGAGGGGCTTATGGCACAGACTGGTTGCCTCGCTCCTGTCAGTGTGCTCCAGGCCACATAGAGTCCACATAGAGTCCACATAGAGTCCACATAGAGTCCACATAGAGTCCATATAGAGTCCGAGGGGCAGATGACCAACGTTAATATATGTCCATAGCTGTGGCAGAGCTCAGAAGAGTACGTCATCCAAACTTAGTTGTGTGTTTGACCTGAGTCTGGGTCTGTTCAGAGACACACTTCATTACATTAGTGTTTGTTGGACACATTTATGATTCCACATTCTAAAGACAACAGCTGGTGATGAAGAGAGAACCATAGTGTGTCATACATATATATATACACAAACATATATCGATATACACGTACTCACATACTGCGGCCGATATACTGCGGCCGCTGCGTGGCTCTTGTCCACGTTCTGTAGCTTAGGTCCTGGATCTACAGCCTGTCCGTCCGTGTGGAGCGGATCCATCTCTCATTATGAGGGTCTCCCCGAGGTTTTTTCCCACTGGGTTTTTTTGAGGGTTTCCTTTGCCGATGCAGGAGGGTCTGTTGGACAGTTAGTGTCTAACAAAAAGGATGTGGTGATGATCCAGGACACTTTAAAATGTATGACATTTATCAACATGTGTTTATATTCTTTTTGTGCCTTAAATGTTGATTCTCTGATCTGTGTTGGTGATTTCAATGGTTTTGTTAAATCCTCTGAGATGACTTCTGTTGTGATTTAGGGCTATACAAGAATAAATTGTATTGTATTGTAAATCGTGTATAGTATATAGTTGTTTATGTTTGAAAGGCCACAGTGTGTTTGAAACTAAGCTGTTAGTGCTCTGTGTCAGCAGAGCATCTGAGGTCAGGGATTAAAAGCATCAAATCCTCAGCGTGAAATGATCATTTACTAATGCGCTAAGAGCCACTCAGCTCTGGGGCGTCCCAGGACAGAGGTCACTGCCCCAGACCAGGGGCTGCTCTGTGGAGACCAGGGGCTGCTCTGTGGGGACCAGGGGCTGCTCTGTGGAGACCAGGGGCTGCTCTGTGGAGACCAGGGGCTGCTCTGTGGAGACCAGGGGCTGCTAGGGGATGCTCTGTGGAGATCAGGGGCTGCTCTGTGGAGACTAGGGGCTGCTCTGTGGAGGCCAGGGGCTGCTCTGTGGAGACCAGGGGCTGCTCTGTGGAGACCAGGGGCTGCTCTGTGTAGACCAGGGGCTGCTAGGGGATGCTCTGTGGAGATCAGGGGCTGCTCTGTGGAGACTAGGGGCTGCTCTGTGGAGGCCAGGGGCTGCTCTGTGGAGACCAATATTCCATTCCACTTTCAATTTTTTGTGGAATATTGCACCACTACCAAATCCTCCCATTTTTCCCTCTCCTTGTTTCACATGGAGTGTTCTTCAAAGTGCAGTGTTGACCTGTACTCGAATACTGCTGTGGTCTTTATACTTCAGATTTAGGAGTGAAACCAACAGCTACAGAAGCCGTTACTAAGTTGAATGAAATAGTTTATTTCATGAAATCAAATGCAATATTTTGTGTGAAATCACCTGGAACATGGAAACCATTTCATGACTTGTTCTTGGTCACGTCTTAACGTCTTATCATCGAGACGAGTAAAAAACATCACAAGAAGTTTCACTTATGACAGAGATCCTCCAAAGTGGACCCTCGTGTGGGTTCTCAGGTCTCAGCTCCCTGTGGCTCAGAGACTTTAAAGCAGATCTGTCTCTGTCTCCACGGCCTCACACCAAGGTACATCTGTGACATATCAACCAACTGGGACTTAGGAGCACAGGGACTGGCCTCCTGCTGGGACTCTGAGGAGCACAGGGACTGGCCACCTGCTGGGACTCTGAGGAGCACAGGGACTGGCCTCCTGCTGGGACTCTGAGGAGCACAGGGACTGGCCTCCTGCTGGGACTCTGAGGAGCACAGGGACTAGTGGCGAAAGTCAGGACTAAACATGAGGAGGCAGCATTTCAGATTTATGCAGCAAAAATATGGAACAGTCTTCCTGAAAATGTGAGACAGGCCTCTTCACTGACAATGTTCAAAAACAGGTTAAAACAGTTCTGCTACAACTGAGGGATTGTACCTTTACTCTTTTGAATGCACTGTGATTATTTATGATGCTAATGCCTTGTGTGTCTGTTTCAAAGTGGTTTTGTTCAGCCCTTTGAGTGGCCTTGAGTATGAACCGTGCTATACAGATAAACTTGCCTTCTCAGAGGTCACGGTGCTTGATGCTGATGCTTTGTGTTGCAGCGGTGCAGCGCGGCAGGACATCCAGTTCCCAGAGCAGTCCTGGACAGTACCTCTCCAACGGCTCGGACGCATACAGCGCGCAGCCGTACCTGTCGGGCTTCCTGTCGCTGCTGCTGCGCGCCGAGCCGTACCCCACGTCCCGCTACGGCGCCCAGTGCATGCAGGGAAACAACCTCATGGGCATTGAGAACATCTGCGAGCTGGCCGCACGCCTGCTCTTCTCCGCCGTGGAGTGGGCCAAGAACATCCCCTTCTTCCCCGACCTGCAGCTCATGGACCAGGTGAGGACTCAGCCACCGGCTCAGTGTAGTTCCTCTGAAGATAAAAACCAAATTAAATACTTTTGATTAATCTTATGGAACATTTTTGGGGTGAATATCCCAAACAATGGGATTCTCTGAATACCGTTGTTTTGGGAGTGTTTCAAACTGCAGATTGGAGCACGGTCTTTTTGGGCGGAAGCAGATTATGATCTGATTTATGTGTTTTATTCTTCAAACCGCTCACAGGGCAGGTGTGGCTGCAGGTTTGAGGTCCAACCTGAGCACAGCAGACTCCACAAAGTTCCACATCTTCTTTCTCTCCATATATCAACTATAGTCTACTATGTTGGCCTCTAGAAAGGACTGTCGGACTTTGTGAATTTAATGAATACAGAAATACTATTCTAAAACAGGACCTTGTTATAATCCTTAAAGAGCACTAGGTCCTCACATCCTCCTGCATCTGCAAAGACAAGACGTACTGTTGTTTCATGAGTGTTATTCAGACAGTCCAAAATGCACTACAATCAGTTCAGTTCTTTTTAACTCTCACTCTTTGTAGCGTGGCACAAGCCCCAAACAAGTCCCTGCTCCTTCTGCCTGAATGTGATGTGTTCCCTCTCAATAAAATCCTTACATGTCAATGTAATGAAGAGCTGTCCAAAGGTTTTGACCTCCAATAAAGAATAAATGTTGTTCACAGATGCATGACTTCCATTAGCTTATAGCATTAGCTCGTAGCATTAGCTCGTAGCATTAGCTCGTAGCATTAGCTCGTAGCACTAGCTCGTAGCATTAGCTCATGGTGCGTCTGTGTCTGTAGGTGGCGCTGCTGCGGATGTCCTGGAGTGAGCTGTTTGTGCTGAATGCAGCTCAGTGCTCCATGCCTCTCCATGTGGCTCCTCTTCTGGCTGCAGCCGGCCTCCACGCCTCCCCCATGTCTGCAGAGCGGGTGGTGGCCTTCATGGACCACATTCGGGTGTTCCAGGAGCAGGTGGAGAAGCTGAAGGCTCTGCAGGTGGACACAGCAGAGTACTCCTGCCTCAAGGCCATCGTGCTCTTCACCTCAGGTCAGTCCCAGTTCAGGATCAAAGTATCGTCAAAAGAAACTGGTTTATGGTCATGTCGTGTTCCTGGTCCCACCTTTGTGCCTCACACGGATGCACTGGTTTATATTTGGAAGGCACCATGTTATTTATATATGTATAGTTAGTAGGGCCGGGACTTTAACACGTTAATTAAGATTAATTAATGCCACAAAAATTTAATTTAATCGTATATGTGTTTTTGCGCCGTGGAACCTTCCTCACTGGATGAGTTTCAGACGGACCGATTATACTGATGCACCAACTCGAGCTCCGTTCATGGCTCCGTGACTTTTTTTTTTTCAAAAGTACATTATTACAAGCATAGACCAACTTCAGTGAAGTCCCAGTGAGTTTGAGACGGGAATGAGCGGTGTGTGTGGAGCCATGGAGGAGGAGGAGCCTTTATTCAATGGTAAACAAAAAATCCATGTGAAAAAAATGACTTCTCACTGTTCTCGAGTCAAATATTTATATGCGATTAAAATGCGATTAATTGCGATTCATTAATCGTATAGCCTCTAATTAATTAGATACATTTTTTTGATCGTGTCAATCAATCAATCAATCAACGTTTATTTGTAGAGCGCCTTTCCTACACAAGGCAACGCAAAGCGCTTCACATCCCCTATCACATCATGCATAAATCAAACACATTAAGAGCACAAGATATATTAAAAACATTAAAAATAAAATCACAAAAATTAAAAACCTTTAAACATTAAAATCACAGATGGGACTAAAATCATAAATAGTCACAGTGCATTAAAAAGATTAAAGATAAAAACAAAGATGAAAAGATAAAATCATTCAGTTGTATATGCGCAGCTAAACAGAATTGTTTTGAGCCTAGATTTAAAAGATGCCAGAGTAGACGCCTGTCTCACATTCTCAGGAAGACGGTTCCAGACTCTAGCCGCATGAATCTGAAATGCAGTTTGCCCATGTCTAGTACCGACTCTGGGCACTAACAGGAGTCCAGTCCCTGTGCTCCTCAGAGTCCGGGTCGGTTCATATGGCACAAACATGTCATGGATGTACCTTGGCGCGAGACCATGGAGAGACTTGTACACAAGTAAAGCTGCTTTGAAGTCTATTCTCTGAGGAACAGGAAGCCAGTGCAGAGACCTGAGAACTGGACTAATGTGGTCGCACTTCCTAGTTCTGGTCAGGACTCGAGCTGCTGCATGTTGAATGTACTGCAGCTGTTTTACAGCCTGTTTGGAGAGACCTGTGAACAAGCCATTGCAATAGTCTAACCGACTGGAGACAAAAGCGTGTATAAGAGTCTCCCAAGTCTGCCTTAGACACTATGTTTTTAATTTTAGCAATGTTTTTTAGGTGGTAATAAGCTGCTGATGTTACAGATTTTATGTGGCTTTTGAAATTTAAGTCTGAGTCCATTATCACTCCTAGATTTCTGACCTGATTTGAGGGTTGTAGAGAGAGAGCCTGGAGGTGACAAATAACGCTCTCTCTTTGTTTCTGGGGTCCGAAAACAATTATTTCAGTTTTGTCGGTGTTTAGTTGGAGAAAGTTATTTTGCATCCAATCACCGATTTGCTGGACACAGTGAAGGAGCGAGTCCACTGGTTCATGCTCTCCTGCTGTCAGGGACACATAGACCTGAGTATCGTCAGCGTAATTGTGATAAGAGACATTATTACTGTGAATCAACTGACCTAGAGGCAACATGTAAATATTAAACAGAAGAGGACCCAGGATTGACCCCTGTGGCACTCCGCAGGTCAGGGCCAAGTGGTCTGAGGTACAGTTTTCGATCTCCACAAAAAACTTTCTGTCTTGTAAATAGGACCTAAACCAGCTTAGGGCGGTGCCAGCAACACCAACCCAGTCCTCAAGTCTCTGAATGAGGATGCCATGATCAATAGTGTGAAAAGCAGCACTTAAATCTAACAGAAAAAGGACTGAGACTTTTCCTGCGTCAGTGTTTAGTTTGATGTCATTTGTTACCTTTATTAGCGCGGTCTCAGTGCTGTGGTGGGGTCTAAACCCTGACTGGAACATATCATAAGCGTTATTGATTATTAAAAATTCTGTAAGTTGTTTATAGGCAACTTTTTCTAGAATTTTTCCCATGAAAGGCAGATTTGAAATGGGCCGATAATTTTTGAGTGCCAGGGCTTCCAGACTCCTCTTTTTTAGGAGGGGCCTGATGACCGCCGTTTTCAAGGCCATTGGGAATGTTCCAGATTCAAGAGACATATTAACTATTTGTGTAAGTGAAGGTAAAAGACTGCTCAGAACTGACTTGAGAAATCTAGGAGGTAATACATCCAGGCTGCATGTGGAGGAACTCAGACTAGTGATTATCTCCTGGACAGTTTCAATTTGTACTGGTGTAAAGTGCGTCAGCCCAAAAAGCCTCACTGGCGGTTGGATTATTATTTCTATCGTGGAGGTGATGGCGTTTTTGATACCTTGGACTTTGTCATTAAAGAACTGAGCAAACTCATTACATTTAGATTTGGAAGTAAGTTCTGATGGCATCTTAACAGGGGGATTCGTCAATCTATTTACTGTTGAAAACAGAACACGTAGATTGTTGCTACAGCCTTCAATAGTTTCAGAAAAGTACATTTCCCTCGTTCTACGTAGTTCCCTGTTAAAATTGCACAACGCATCTTTGAAGATCTCATGGTCAACTTTGAGATTTGACTTTCGCCACTTCCGCTCGGCCTTCCGGCACTCTCTCTTCTGTGCCCTGACCGAGTCTGCTTTAGTCCATGGCGCTTTTTGCTTGTTTGTAACTATTTTAACCTTTACAGGAGCAATTGTATCCAGAACATTCAAAACAGTGGTGGTGACAGAATCAAGTAATTCATCTACAGTAACACACAACGTGTTCTCAAAGTTTACCCTCCCCATGAACAGTTCGCCTGTATTATCATTTATGTGTCTTCTTCTAACAACCGAAGATTCAGCTGGTGGTTTACAATCAAGACACATGTCAAAAAATACACAGAAATGATCAGACAGAGCAACATTGACCACATTTACATTTGAAATATTAACCCCCTTGGTAATTAACAGATCGAGAGTGTGTCCTCTGCTGTGGGTGGGGCCACTCACATGCTGAGTGAGACCAAAGGTTTCCAGCACAGAGCTCAGCTCTATTGCATATCTATCATTAGCATTATCTACATGTATATTGAAATCACCTATAATGACTAAACCATCAAAATCTGTGCACACAACTGAAAGCAACTCAGTGAAATGATCAGTGAAACTATGGCATGACTGTGGCGGCTTGTACACAACAATAATAAGAATGGAAGAAGATTTCTTTTGTTCTATTTTAAAAGAAACATACTCAAATGATGAAAATTTCCCAAGAGACACTCTATGGGAGACAATACGATCTTTAAAAACTGCTGCTATGCCCCCCCCCCCTTTTATTTTCTCGTGTTTCATATTCAAATTTGAAATTTGGTGGTGAGGCTTCTATTAAAACTGCATCTCCTGTATTATGGTCAAGCCATGTTTCAGTCATAAACATAAAATAAGATCATACGAACAGATAAAATTATTAATTAAAAATGATTTGTTGCATAGTGATCTGACATTAAGTAGAGCAAGGTTAAAATTAATATCAGTGTCAATGGGTTTAGTTGATTGATTACAAAGAACTGGAATTAGATTTCCAGAGTTGGACCGTCTAACTGCTGTCCTTCTTTTAAATTTGTGTTTATTCACGTTAAAACACATTTCTGAGCTGGTGCGAGGAACACACACAGTCTCTATTGGTTTAAAAAGTGAACTCTGTTGTACTTTGTTAAGTTCCAGATGCATAACTGAGTCAGCACAGTTCAGTGGCAGGACTGTCGTTACACTGCCAGACGGACAGGGGTCAGTGTTTGCACCACAGTACTCACCCGGTGCTGGTAAGGAGGAGGAGGGGGGTGGTGGTGGGGGCCGAGAAGCCTCAGATGTAAACAGTCACGCCCCCCTCGGGGAGCACTGAACAACATGGCGTAGGAAGTCCGTCAACAAACTGGTGCCGTATCTGTTCCTGGCCCTAATAGTTAGTGATTATTAATATGAATGTTTGTTAATTAACATAATCAAAGCTTTCAGTGGAACCACTGTCTCGAGTATTATCCCACTCACCATAAAACCTCCTCGTCCACCATTGGTTCATTACTGCAACGTTAAGTAAGTAAGTAAGAGCATAACGCACAGACTAAAACAATATTACTATATTACAATACTACACTAAGACAACCTTTGTGCTGATCCACTGCTCACACTCGCACCTTTAACCCCAGCCTCTCACTACACTGTCACAGTAAAGGCCTCAGGCATAAACCTAAACATTTCACTGAATAATAAAACATGTTACATTGAGATAAAACACAGTATTATCGTCCCTGGTCCCAGGTAAAGACTGCATCTGCTGCTGATACACAAGGCTCAAAGTGAGACCTGGGCGTAGGACATGAGCGGGAGTGGGACGCTTCAGTCTGGGACAGAATACAAGAGGCTGGACTTCTCCCTCCATGCCTTAAGTGTTTACAGTAAACAGTGGGGCTGATCCTGGAGGATTAGCACAGACGTTTCCTGTCCCTAAGTACATCACTTTACATGTGCAGGGGCAGGTTACAGGACAGAGACCTGCAGCAATATCGCAATATTTTAGGCACACAAGTAAAAAGTATTGCAATATTTAATTAAATAATAATATGTTTGACTTCAGTGTTTTCTCTGGTTATTTACGCCTGAGGTTTATGTGTCTCAATGATGTCCACCACTATCTTGTCACTAACTCAGCTCAGTAGACTATGGTCCAGACATCACAAAATGTTTTGTGATGTGGTTACAAATCTAGTGAGAAACAGGTCCAGAAACAAACTCCTAAAAATTAAGTTGCAAGATATACACTATATTGTCCGTCATGGTTTCAGTGGTTTATGTGCGATGCACCCGCAAAATGTTTGTTCCTTCCGGGTCTGGTGAAAAAATTACATATTTTTCATATGGTCCAAAGAATGTGCTTTCGACATCCAGGACTCTGACCTCTCCCTGCAGATGCCCTGGGCCTCTCTGACCTCACCTTGCAGATGCCCTGGGCCTCTCTGACCCCTCTCCCTGCAGATGCCCTGGGCCTCTCTGACCTCACCTTGCAGATGCCCTGGGCCTCTCTGACCCCTCTCCCTGCAGATGCCCTGGGCCTCTCTGACCTCACCTTGCAGATGCCCTGGGCCTCTCTGACCTCTGACCCCTCTCCCTGCAGATGTCCTGGGCCTCTCTGACCTCACCTTGCAGACGCACTGGGCCTCTCTGACCTCTGACCTCCCCCTGCAGATTCCCTGGGCCTCTCTGACCTCCCCCTGTAGATTCCCTGGGCCTCTCTGACCTCTGCTTGCAGATGCTCTGGGCCTCATTGACCTCTGACCTCTCCTTGCAGATGCCATGGGCCTCTCGGACGTGGCGCACGTGGAGAGCGTGCAGGAGAAGTCGCAGTGCGCGCTGGAGGAGTACGTGAGGAACCAGTATCCGTCGCAGCCGAACCGCTTCGGGCGCCTGCTGCTGCGCCTGCCCTCGCTGCGCATCGTGTCGTCGCCCGTCATCGAGCAGCTGTTCTTTGTGCGCCTCGTGGGGAAGACGCCGATCGAGACGCTGCTCAGGGACATGCTGCTGTCCGGATCCAGCTACAACTGGCCCTACATGCCCCCAGTGCAGAGGGACCGGCCCCTGTCCCTGCACTATAACGACAGCGGCCCCTGAGACTCCTCTCGGGCTCTCTGTGACTGTCTGCTCACACACTCGGACCCCGTCTCCCTCCACAGAGACCGAGCCTCTGCAGAGCGGGGGCCCCTGGACTCTGTAGGGGCCAGTGTGGACCGCCCTCACGCCAACCACAGCCTGGACACTGTAGTGACAGCTCTGAGGAGAGGATTCTGCAGCCGGACTCCGCTCCACTCAACTAGTACCTGCAGGCGACGGTGGAACTGGTTAGACTCACTGTTACCGCAGTTACATGGACGTCAGGAAAGGGATTAATGACCCTGTGAACATGAACGATCGAGATGGTCCAAAGATCACAGGGACAATACCAGCATTTAACTGCAGAAACATTTGGACGTGTGCTCACTCAGAGTCTGTAGGAATCTTCACTTGCCATTTTTATCAACCATTTCATGGCATTTCAATTTGTCTCTCAATGTCACTGGAGTGTGCCCTCTGCTGTACCTGTGTTTAGACCACGGGCTAGAGCTGACCTCCGTCCATCCCGTCTGTACCTGTGCTCCCGATCCCACACCATCCCGTCTGTAACTGTGCTCCCGATCCATCCCGTCTGTACCTGTGTTACTGAACCATACCGTCTGTACCTGTGCTCCCGAACCATCCCGTCTGTACCTGTGTTACTGAACCATACCATCTGTACCTGTGCTCCCGAACCATCCCGTCTGTACCTGTGTTACTGAACCATACCATCTGTACCTGTGCTCCCGAACCATCACACCGGTCAAAACCCACTCTGCTTAGGCTTAACATTCTTATGATGAGATGTTCTTGATCAGGATGGATTTCTTTTTTTCATGTGACTTGGAATTAAGAAATTTCCTGCAAAATTGATCAAATATGAGGTAATAAACGCTTGGACCAAGTGTTTTTAATCTTAATCCGAGCACATTCTGACTGTTTTTAAAATTTGATTCTCCAATGGGACAAAGCCATTTAGTCTTATCTAATTATTTCCTCATTCCAAGGGAGACATTTCTAGTATCTTTTTAAAACAAGATTTGTCCCACTGAAAAATCTGGTTTTAAAGCAGAATATGCTCAAATCAAGATACATTTAACCAAATCTGAGCAATTCTTGACTTAATTTTTCATCACTTTTTTGCAGTGTTTGAGTTGGCAAAAGCTTGTGGGAAAAATCAATAAACAGACGCAACGCAAAATTCAGACAGAAATGTTAATAATAATAATAATAATGCTTCAAAAACTGAAGCATTATTATTATCCAGAAATATAGATAAAGAATTGTCCTGTGTTTTTGCAGATTTATTTCAATGCGTTTCAAAATCCATCCATCCATCCATCCATTTTCTACCCTTTAATCCATTTCTGGGTCAGGGGGGTGGCAGTCAGAGATGCCACCCAAGTCTCATAGCACCAGCCCCTCACTGACCCTCTGCAGGTGGTGAGTCCACAGGAGGACGGCTGCTCTCTGAGTGTGAGCATAGCCTTGATCTTTCAGTGGGGGCTTTGGGCAAAGTGGGGTTAAGTGTCTTGCCCAAGGACACAACGACAGCAGTCATCAGTGGGAGTCGGTGGAGAAGGTGTAGAGGTGGGAATTGAACCCACGACCTTCAGGCCTGAAGGCCAATGCTCTACCAACTGAGCTAGTGTCGCCCTGGCGCCCGGCATTTCAAAATCACTGCATTTAAGTTATTCAGCAAAAACAGACTCAGACTGTTCCATGAGAGCCTCCACTGAAGCTGGAAGAGGGAAGGATGAATGGAGCAGCGTCTGCAGTCAGAGCTCTCAGCTGCCCTGGGAACGTCTCCGCAGCTCATTTAGATTTGATCAACGAAACAAATCAAAAACAACTCAAATGAGAACATCATCCTGAATTCACGTCATTGTAAATCCTCTTAAATCCTCTGGTCTCTGACTGAGCAGGACCATGTGGGGCTGGAACCGTGCCAAAGATCATGTGACATCACACACAGCTTTGTCGCAGAGTGACTCCTTCACAAACTCTGAATGTCCAAGTGGGCGGAGTCTAAAACACTGTATGCCTTAGAAAAGACTGCCATAGTGTGTGTGTGCACGTATATGTGTGTATGTGTGTGCGAGTGTATGTGCATATAAATGTGTGCGTGCGGCTGTGTATGTGTGTCTCTGCGGTGTGTGCGTGCGGCTGTGTATGTGTGTCTTTGCGGTGTGTGCGTGCGGCTGTCTGTGTCTGTTGGGGTGTGGGTGCAGCTGTGTGTGTGTGTGTCTGTGTGTGCTTCTGATCCACAAAGATTGTTTTCTTAAATGTATCTTTGGCACACACTGTGGGGTCAGAGTCTGTGGAGTTTCTGCTGAAGGGAAAACTGAAGAAATGTACAGATCATTTAGACGCAAATGAAAAACGCACACGTGTCACATGTGGGTTCAACAACAAGAGTGAAGCTCTAACAACACTGGTCTGCAGTGTGCCTTATGGGGTCCCCTCCACACACACACGCATAGACATCTACACCCAGACACACACACAGACAGACGCGTACACACACACACACGCACAAATCCACACAAAAAGACACACGCATAGACACCTACGCACAGGCACACACACAGACAGACGCATACCCACACAGACACATACACGCACAAATCCACACAAAAAGACACACACGCATAGACACCTAAGCACAGGCACACACACAGACAGACGCATACCCACACAGACACACGCACGCACAAATCCACACAAAAAGACACACGCATAGACACCTACGCACAGGCACACACACAGACAGACGCATACCCACACAGACACACACACGGACAAATCCACACAAAAAGACACACACGCAAAGACACACACACAGATAGACGCATACCCACACAGACACACACACGCACAAAAAGACACACACACAGATACTCACACGCATAGACACATACATACACAGATAGACGCACACGCATACACTTGCTCGCACGCACAGACGCACACACACAGACACACTCACATACACTTACACAGACACACACTCCCTCAGAGTTTTTGTACAGTATTGTCAGTTGTTTTAGCGAATGAGGAATGTTCTATTTTTGTTTGGATTCTACTTTTAAATAAAATATTCTGCTGTTATTTTTCTTGAGGTTTGTTTATTTTATCTCTGGTCGACTTCATCAATGTATTTAATTCAAATGACTCTATACATCAAACAGTTGTGTGTGTAAAAGATTTGAATCATTTAGACACATACGCGTAACAAATTATGAAGATTTTATTATTATTTCACAAACAATGGAAGATTAAGTGAATATTTATCTGTTCATCCAGATTCCAAACTCTAAAATTAATATAATAAAGATACACTTTATTTATAAGGCGCCTTTCTGGGCACTCGAGGTCACCTTCACAAAGCTAAAAGCAAAAACAGTTACAAGAAAAAAACAGTTACACATGGTCTGTGGAATGTAGAGTCTGAACAGGTGTGTTCTAAGTGTGTCAGTGGAGGGCAGAGGTCAGGGTGCTCCAGAGCTGGGGACCAGGAGGAGGCACCAGGAGCTGGAGAGAGGAGGAGGAGCAGAGGGAGCCGAAGCTGGAGGGAAGAGGAGGAGCAGGAGCCGAGGGAGGGGGCAGGAGCTGGAGGGAAGAGGAGTAGTAGAGGGGGCAGGAGCTAGAGGAGGAGAAAATTATGTGGAGATGTGGTTTCTTCAAGACAGTGATTGTTTCAGGACAGCGGTGATGAAGTTGCTTCAGGACAGGGGTGATGTGGTTTCTTCAGGACAGGGTTGATGTGGTTGCTTCAGGACAGGGGTGATGTGGTTGTTTCAGGACAGGGGTGATGTGGTTTCTTCAGGACAGGGGTGATGTGGTTGCTTCAGGACAGGGGTGATGTGGTTGTGTCAGGACAGGGGTGATGTGGTTGTTTCAGGACAGGGGTGATGTGGTTTCTTCAGGACAGGGGTGATGTGGTTGTTTCAGGACAGGGGTGATGTGGTTTCTTCAGGACAGGGGTGATGTGGTTGCTTCAGGACAGGGGTGATGTGGTTGCTTCAGGACAGGGGTGACGTGGTTTCTTCAGGACAGGGGTGATGTGGTTGTTTCAGGACAGGGGTGATGTGGTTGTTTCAGGACAGGGGTGATGTGGTTGTTTCAGGATAGGGGTGATGTGGTTGTTTCAGGACAGGGGTGATGTGGTTGTTTCAGGACGGTTGATGTGGTTGTGTCAGGACAGGGGTGATGTGGTTGCTTCAGGACAGGGGTGATGTGGTTGCTTCAGGACAGGGGTGATGTGGTTTCTTCAGGACAGGGGTGATGTGGTTGTTTCAGGACAGGGGTGATGTGGTTGTTTCAGGACAGGGGTGATGTGGTTGTTTCAGGACAGGGGTGATGTGGTTGTTTCAGGACAGGGGTGATGTGGTTGTTTCAGGACAGGGGTGATGTGGTTGTTTCAGGACAGGGGTGATGTGGTTGTTTCAGGACAGGGGTGATGTGGTTGTTTCAGGACAGGGGTGATGTGGTTGTTTCAGGACAGGGGTGATGTGGTTGTTTCAGGACAGGGGTGATGTGGTTGTTTCAGGACAGGCGTGATGTGGTTGCTTCATGACAGGGGTGATGTGGTATCTCCAGGACAGGGGTGATGTGGTTTCTTCAGGACAGGGGTGATGTAGTTGCTTCAGGGAAATCAATCCATGATATTGTATTTATAAAGCGCTTTTCATACAAAAAAATGCAACCACATATGTTATTAAGTACACACACACGCACACACACACACACGCACAGACAAACACACAAACAGTTCTGCTGTCTGGACTGTCTCTAATGAAAAGTGTGGTATATTTTCTCCAAGCTAATGAGAAAATGAATGATAGATGTGAATCCAAACGCTGAGATCTCCTCAAATGCATATGTCCTTTCCCTCTTTTCCATAAACAGCATCAGCACAGATCCAGAGGGGATTGGACATGTCTGTGTGTGTCTGTGTGTGTGAGTGTGTGTCTGCAGGGACCACACATCTCCGCAGACACATGACACTCAGACCTGGACGACTGAAGAGAAGTACAGATGTGTTATAAATGCTTAAACAGCCGTGGGTCCAGTGTGTGGCAACACCATGAATATTGATGGTGGAGGGTGACGGAGCATGAATATTGATGGTGTTGTGTGTCTGCAGCAGGTCAGAGGACACTGCTGTTGGGGCTCTGTGCCACACACACACACACGCACACGCACACGCACACACACATCCAATCACATCACCTTTAAGAGTCTTTGGAATCAGCAATCTGCAAAGACTACCATACAGTATTTCTCCATGGTCTCGCGCCAAAGTATCTGTGACATTTTGGTGCCAGAACCAGCTCTGACAGCACAGGGACTGGATTCCTGCTGGGACTCTGAGGAGCACAGGGACTGGATTCCTGCTGGGACTCTGAGGAGCACAGGGACTGGACTCCTGCTGGGACTCTGAGGAGCACAGGGACTGGACTCCTGCTGGGACTCTGAGGAGCACAGGGACTGGACTCCTGCTGGGACTCTGAGGAGCACATGCAGGGACTGGACTCCTGCTGAGACTCTGAGGAGCACAGGGACTGGACTCCTGCTGGGACTTTGAGGAGCACAGGGACTGGACTCCTGCTGGGACTCTGAGGAGCACAGGGACTGGACTCCTGCTGGGACTCTGAGGAGCACAGGGACTGGACTCCTGCTGGGACTCTGAGGAGCACAGGGACTGGACTCCTGCTGGGACTCTGAGGAGCACAGGGACTCTCTTTTTTATGTACTGTGATACTAAATGATTTGAATGCCTTGTGTGATTGTTTCTATCCTTTTTCTTTCAGCACTTTGAGTTGCCTTGTGTACGAACTGTCCAACACAAGTAAAATTGCCGTGCCTCTATAGACGTGTACATACTGTATATAAATACAGGTGGAGCAGTGATTTTCTAGTTCTTACTGTAATTATTGATAGATTTATTAGTTTTATTTGTCCCATGGTGGGGACTTTTCAGTGTTGCAGCGCACATACAGTACATACATACATAAGAGGAGTATGAACACAAGTAGTTCACAAAATGTACAATAATGAATACATATGAGATAAATATATATACAGTAGCATTAAAAATCCACTCCCCTTTAACTCTACGACATTCTGCCCCAGGACCAGAGACATCAAAGTCGTGATGGAGACAGATATCCACATCTGTGTAGAGACTGCTCAGATCTAGAGCAGGTTCTGTGAGGATTTTAGCTCCATAAATACACAAAAAATGAAAATTAATGTGTATTTCAGTCTATTTCAGCCTAAATCCAAACAGTATCGTGTAGACAGAGTAAGGATTTATGACCTACATACAGCTGCCTACAAGAACACTGAGTAATTCATTCAATCATTTGAGTTGGAATCCGGACATTTGTATATCTATCATGTCATTTTACAGCATGACCTCCTGGACCTTTTTAGTCGGGGGTCTACAGTGGGCAAATATTAGTCCAGACTCAAATCCCCTTTAAGTAGGCTTATTGACAAAGCTTAAGCAGAGTCACAACTAATGTACTTATGAGGTCAGGCCCCGGTCAGGAATAAACTCTCCAATGTTTGCACAACACTGCTCCTGATAATGCTGCGTTTTGGACATGTATAAATGTATAACTGTTTAGGTTTTGTTTTCTCCTCTCGTTGCATCTCGTTCTACAGTCCTTCTTGACCTCCTCAAACTCTGCTACGCTCCACAAACTCACAGCAGCTTCTACACTTCTCCCTGTGTCTCCTAATTTAACATCAAAGCGAAGAAAATCTGTATATTTTTCTCCTAATCCACTTTTACTTTTGGGCGAGCGAAGATTAGCCGGAGTGGTGTGTGTGCAGGAGGCGGGACTTACATCTGTCAATCACAACTCTAGCAATGTATGAGCAAAGTTGATTAAAACTATCCTCTTTTAGACTCACAGATGAGTAACAATATTAGTTCATAATAATAATACATCATATTTACAGTATATAACACCTTTTGGACACTCAAAGATGCTTTACAAAAGAACAGATTAGAAATTAAATAAAAATCTAAAATAAATAGTTCAGTGTCAGCAGTTTTGAACCGGTGGGTTTTGAGGGAGTGAGTTCTGGAGAGTTCAGAAGGATCGGCCCTTAAGGTTCAGACTCGGCCCTCAGGGTTCAGTTTCAGTCCTCAGGGTTCAGAAGACTTGGTCGTCAGGGTTCAGACTCTGTCCCCAAGGTTCAGAAGGCTTGTGGGGGAAGAATAGAGCTAATGGAGGAGGTCGTGACATATGAGGAGGTTTGGTTATTAGTTTGTTGATGATGAGGAGGAGCATATATTGAATGCAGAATGGGACAGGAGCCAGTGCAGTTGTTTGTGGACGGGGGTGATGTGCTCTCTGGAGCGACAGAGTTGGATGTGTGGCAGTTTTGGGAGATGAGTGGAGGAGAGACCACAGAGGAGGCTGTTGCAGAAGTTAGGTCTGGAGGTGATGAGAGAGGGGCAGAGACAGGGGAAGATGAGGGAGGGGCAGAGACGGGATGATGAGGGAGGGGCAGAGACAGGGGATGATGAGGGAGGGGCAGAGACAGGGGAAGATGAGGGAGGGGCAGAGACAGGGGAAGATGAGGGAGGGGCAGAGACAGGGGAAGATGAGGGAGGGGCAGAGACAGGGGATGATGAGGGAGGGGCAGAGACAGGGGAAGATGAGGGAGGGGCAGAGACAGGGGATGATGAGGGAGGGGCAGAGACAGGGGAAGATGAGGGAGGGGCAGAGACAGGGGAAGATGAGGGAGGGGCAGAGACAGGGGAAGATGAGGGAGGGGCAGAGGCGATGTTGCGGAGGTACAAAAAGGAAGTTTTAGTGATATAGTTTGTGTGATGTGGAGGGTGGAGTCTCGTGTTACGCTGAGGTTTTACGCAGAGGGGGAGGGAGTGAGGGAGATGTTCTGTTTACAGTATTATTGTGTAGGTTATGTCACTCGATGGCAGAGCCTTCGCCCTCAAAGCTGAATGAATGACACACAAGCTGTTTTTTCAGAATAGTATGACATTTCTTTGATGAATCTGAAAAATATAAAAACAAATAATACAATATACAGTAATTAAATATGTTGTGGGGTTGAAATTGTGGCTTGTTTCTATTCCTTCATTACTAACTCACTGTGCCTTCATAAGTTTGAAGAAGGAACCATGGAGGACCATAGTTATGTAAAAGAACAATCTTTTAGAAAAGTAAACACAAAACAGTCACCAGAATACTTTATCAGCAGCGTGAGTGAATGTTGTGTTTTCTTGCGGTGATGCAGATAGGGCGCTGTGGCTAATGCTAATGCTAACACGAGCTTTTAGCAATGTCCTGCCGTGGCTCTGTATACAGTGCCTTGCGAAAGTATTTGGCCCCCTTGAACCTTTCAACATTTCGCCACATTTCAGGCTTCAAACATAAAGATATAAAATTTAAATGTTTTGTCATGAATCAACAACAAGTGGGACACAATCGTGAAGTGGAACAAAATTTATTGAATAATTTTAACTTTTTTAACAAATAAAAAACAATATTATTCGGCCCCTTTACTTTCAGTGCAGCAAACTCAGTCCAGAAGTTCAGTGAGGATCTTTGAATGATCCAATGTTGTCCTAAATGACTGATGATGATAAATAGAATGCACCTGTGTGTAATCAAGTCTCCGTATAAATGCACCTGCTCTTTGATAGTCTCAGGGTTCTGTTTAAAGCGCAGAGAGAACCATGAAGACAAAGGAACACACCAGGCAGGTCCGAGATACTGTTGTGGAGAAGTTTAAAGCCGGATTTGGATACAAAATGATTTCCCAAGCTTTAAACATCTCAAGGAGCACTGTGCAAGCAATTATATTGAAATGGAAGGAGTATCAGACCACTGCAAATCTACCAAGACCCGGCCGTCCCTCCAAACTTTCATCTCAAACAAGGAGAAGACTGATCAGAGATGCAGCCAAGAGGCCCATGATCACTCTGGATGAACTGCAGATAACTACAGCTGAGGTGGGAGAGTCTGTCCATAGGACAACACTCAGTCGTGCACTGCACAAATCTGGCCTTTATGGAACAGTGGCAAGAAGAAAGCCATTTCTCAAAGATATCCATAAAAAGTCTCGTTTAAAGTTTGCCACAAGCCACCTGGGAGACACACCAAACATGTGGAAGAAGGTGCTCTGGTCAGATGAAACCAAAATCCAACTTTTTGGCCACAATGCAAAACAATATGTTTGGCGTAAAAGCAACACAGCTCATCACCCTGAAAACACCATCCCCACTGTCAAACATGGTGGTGGCAGCATCATGGTTTGGGCCTGCTTTTCTTCAGCAGGGACAGGGAAGATGGCCAAAATTGATGGGAAGATGGATGGAGCTAAATACAGGACCATTCTGGAAGAAAACCTGTTGGAGTCTGCAAAAGACCTGAGACTGGGACGGAGATTTATCTTCCAACAGGACAATGATCCAAAACATTAAGCCAAATCTACAATGGAATGGTTCACAAATAGACGTATCCAGGTGTTAGAATGGCCAAGTCAAAGTCCAGACCTGAATCCAATCGAGAATCTGTGGAAAGAGCTGAAGACTGCTGTTCACAAACGCTCTCCATCCAACCTCACTGAGCTCAAGCTGTTTTGCAAGGAAGAATGAGCAAGAAATCCAGTCTCTCGATGTGCAAAACTGATAGAGACATACCCCAAGCGACTTGCAGCTGTAATTGCAGCAAAAGGTGGCGCTACAAAGTATTAGCGCATAGGGGCCGAATAATATTGCACGCCCCACTTTTCAGTTTTTTATTTGTTAAAAAAGTTTAAATTACTCAATAAATTTTGTTCCACTTCACGATTGTGTCCCACTTGTGGTTGATTCATGACAAAAAATAATTTTTTTATATCTTTATGTTTGAAGCCTGAAATGTGGCGAAAGGTTGAAAGGTTCAAGGGCGCCGAATACTTTCGCAAGGCACTGTATCACCTGCTTCTTTGATCATCGTAGTTTTAAGCTCCCACATACGTTATTCCTCCATGTGTCTGTTCTTTTCACATATATAATAAAACTATATATTATAATAGATCCATGGTCAAGCTCTGTGCAGCGGGTGCTGCATCTGAACAGGTCTTGTTTACAAGTCGCCTTCACACGACTGTCAAGTGCCCGAGACGTTTGGGAGAGATCAGGTCATTTATCAAACTAAAGTATTCTTTCCTTGGCAGTCTGGTGAATGACTGAGAAGGCTTCCGTAGTAACATGGAATGCAATATAAGATCTCAACGCTAGAATGCACAAAAACTACACAGAGTACCTTTAACCGATCTTTGATTTTTGGTCTGTGAGGGCTCTTCCAAATCCATAGAATTACTCTGGTGGCCACTACAAAAGCAGGAGAGGTTGGAAACAACTCTTTCAAATGAGCATGACTTGTGACTTTTGCTGATTTATTTTGTAGCCTGAAAATTTTGAGAAATTGTCAATTATGGACAAAACCTTTGGAACTGAAGAGGATCTCTGACAATAAACAGATTATCATCAGCATACAGGAACACTTCATGCTCTTCCAACCCATGTAATACTCTACTTTACTAGATCTGATCACCGCGGTTAAAGGTTTAAGGAATAGTATAAATAGAAAAGACTTAAAGGATTCCCTTACTTAGTCCCGCGTTTCAGACTAAAAAATTGTGACACCAGTCCATTATTCAGAACGGCCGCCCTAGGATCAGAATAAATAACACTCACCCGTCTAATTAGGCTTCCAACAAATCAAAATGTTTTCAGAGAAATCTCCATCCATTGGAGAAAACTCCATTCTACTCCTTCAAAGACTTGTTGGGCGTCCAAGGATAAAGCATCTATGGGAGAACTACTATTTCAATACTGCCATGTGTAGGAGCCGCCTGACGTTATCAGACGATGCTCGTCCCTTCCAGTGGGGGTGGGTCCCGGCTCAAAAGTGACCAAAATGACGTGCGCTGACATGCTGCAATACCACCCCGGGCTGATGGGGGTGGACCCGGAATAAAAATTAGCCAATGCTAACATATAGCCTCTTCTTACCTCTGGAAAACGTCTTTACAGGATGGTCCAAAAGTTGGCTCTTGGCCCAAAGCTCCGTTCCACATTTGTGTCAATGCTGAGGGGGGTGTTTTGGACCAGTCTAGTTTAGTCGCTGTGAAATTTTGAAGTCACTCGTTTAAATGAATGGAGCTCGTGCTGGCTGACGCATTTTCCAGCCCCCGCGGCCATTTTGAATCACTCCATGAAAGCCCAATTTTTGGCCCATTAGTTAGAACGGCGGAGATAGGCGTGACTACGTCCGTTAATATATTCAGTCTATTGTCCCTTCACAAAACCTGATCTGAGTGATTCAAGCAGGCTTATAATATCTTTTCCATTCTTAGGGCAATAACCATAGTCAGTATTTTGAAATCCACATTAATTAAGCCTTAAAGTACCTGGGTCAGTCGGATCCTTCTGTTTTATATAACTAAGAGAAATCAAGGCTCCATTAAATGTCTCTGGCATTTGTTCCAGTGAAAAGGATTCCTGATCAAATTCAGCTAATCTGGTTCATTCCTTTTACAAATGGAATAAACCCGTTTGTCCACCATCCTTTATAATATTTTGATGGAAACCCAGATCTAATGCAGGTGATTTTTAACAGATATGGCCTTTTTTTCGTCCCTCCACGGTTATGGGACCTTACATTTGTGTTTGGCACGTACGACCTCTGACTCATAAAGATTCTTGTAAAATGATAGAAATACGTTAATGGCCGATATTGTAATACTCTGCATAAGCTTCTTCTTAAGCTGCCTGGCAAACAGCTTATGGTGATAGTTGAAGAAAGTGATGCTCAGAGATCATTAGTGATCAGAGCCTGTGCACCGGGGCGTGACAGCTGAACACACTGGGATCCGTTGGCCTGTCTCTGACCCTCCTCAGCGTGGCCTGTGACTGACCCCCAGGTGTGGCCCCTGTGGTGGTCCCTGGGAGGCCCCTGCTGTCCTGAACAGACAGCTCAGAGTGTCAGAGTATTAGCACGCTGCATTCAGCATGATGTTTTCCACACGCCGCAAAGCCCAGTGGAATCATGAGTGCGTACCCGCTCAGCCTCAGAGGGGGGGGGGGCAGGGGGAGGCTGAGGTGTGGACGCTGAGGGAGGGTCTAAAGATTGTATGTGTCACGTAAACAGAACATTTATTTTGCACTTCTCTAAAGCACTCGGAGAACAGCGGCTCTCACAGACCCACTCATCCATTCAGACAGATTTCAGACAAATCAATATTTTTTCTCCTCTAATGTCGGTTTTTAAATGAGTGTACTTTTATCAGACAGTCAATAAACTATTGTATCCACAGCTCTGTCGGGGCTATTCACATTGGGACCAACTGAACACCACCAAAACCACATGTAGCTCCCAGAACCTCCAACTCAGTCTTATTCAAGCAGGAATTATTCGAAGTGTCTTGCTCAATGGCCACTGCAAACAGACGTTTTTGTGGATTTTATTTTTGCACTTGGTATAATTTTGACTTCATTTCTCTGTGGTTTTAAGTTTAGTTTGACTTCCTGTTTCCTGTTGATGGTCTGCCCCGCTCTGATGTGTTTCACCTGTGTCTCGCTGGTACCTGTGCTCCTCTCCACTTGTTGCTGGTTCATTGTTTGGTCAAGTTCAGTTCCGTCCTGTTCCTGGTTCATTTATTTTATCCTGTTTATTAAATAATTATTTTTGAGTCCTCCTTCATCTCATCTTGTGGCACAACCAGGACACAAGGAAGGATTTATATGAAAAATTAAGTGATTCTTTCCTTCCATCTTGAAATTCAATTTATTTTGTATTGCCCTTAATCACAACAGAAGTTATCTCAGAGAGCTTTACAAAACTGCCGATTCACCAACACAGCTCAGAGAATATAAATACAGTGCCTTGCGAAAGTATTCGGCCCCCTTGAACCTTTCAACATTTTGCCACATGTCAGGCTTCAAACATAAAGATATAAAAATTTAATTTGTTGTCATGAATCAACAACAAGTGGGACACAATCGTGAAGTGGAACAAAATGTATTGGATCATTTAAACTTTTTTAACTAATAAAAAACTGAAAAGTAGGACGTGCAATATTATTCGGCCCCTTTACTTTCAGTGCAGCAAACTCACTCCAGAAGTTCAGTGAGGATCTTTGAATGATCCAATGTTGTCCTAAATGACTGATGATGATAAATAGAATGCACCTGTGTGTAACCAAGTCTCCGTATAAATGCACCTGCTCTTTGATAGTCTCAGGGTTCTGTTTAAAGCGCAGAAAGAACCATGAAGACAAAGGAACACACCAGGCAGGTCCGAGATACTGTTGTGGAGAAGTTTAAAGCCGGATTTGGATACAAAAAGATTTCCCAAGCTTTAAACATCTCAAGGAGCACTGTGCAAGCAATTATATTGAAATGGAAGGAGTATCAGACCACTGCAAATCTACCAAGACCCGGCCCTCCATCCAAACTTTCATCTCAAACAAGGAGAAGACTGATCAGAGATGCAGCCAAGAGGCCCATGATCACTCTGGATGAACTGCAGATAACTACAGCTGAGGTGGGAGAGTCTGTCCATAGGACAACAATCAGTCGTGCACTGCACAAATCTGGCCTTTATGGAAGAGTGGCAAGAAGAAAGCCATTTCTCAAAGATATCCATAAAAAGTCTTGTTTAAAGTTTGCCACAAGCCACCTGGGAGACACACCAAACATGTGGAAGAAGGTGCTCTGGTCAGATGAAACCAAAATCGAACTTTTTGGCCACAATTCAAAACGATATGTTTGGCGTAAAAGCAACACAGCTCATCACCCTGAACACACCATCCCCACTGTCAAACATGGTGGTGGCAGCATCATGCTTTGGGCCTGCTTTTCTTCAGCAGGGACAGGGGAGATGGCTAAAATTGATGGGAAGATGGATGGAGCCAAATACAGGACCATTCTGGAAGAAAACCTGTTGGAGTCTGCAAAAGACCTGAGACTGGGACGGAGATTTATCTTCCAACAGGACAATGATCCAAAACATAAAGCCAAATCTACAATGGAATGGTTCACAAATAGACGTATCCAGGTGTTAGAATGGCCAAGTCAAAGTCCAGACCTGAATCCAATCGAGAATCTGTGGAAAGAGCTGAAGACTGCTGTTCACAAACGCTCTCCATCCAACCTCACTGAGCTCGAGCTGTTTTGCAAGGAAGAATGGGCAAGAATTCCAGTCTCTCGATGTGTAAAACTGATAGAGACATACCCCAAGCGACTTGCAGCTGTAATTGCAGCAAAAGGTGGCGCTACAAAGTATTAGCGCAAGGGGGCCGAATAATATTGCACGCTCCTCTTTTCAATTTTTTATTTGTTAAAAAAGTTTAAATGATCCAAAAAATGTCGTTCCACTTCACGATTGTGTCCCACTTGTGGTTGATTCTTGACAAAAAATTCTTACTTTCGCAAGGCACTGTAGGTAGATAGAAAAGCACTTTAACACAGCTCCTCAGTTTAACCATCTTCAGTGTGGTAAGGTCCACGGTTATGTTATTATCACAGAGAAAGTATCAAACTGAACATGATTCAGTTGAAATGAACAAAACAACTTCCATAACGGGATCCATTCTGAACGACTGCAGCAGTGTCTCTGTAAAATACAGTCAAATGTCCAAATATCATCACCTCTATTTGCAGCTTTGTCACTACACCTGTTTTTACCATCGGTACCAGGCTGACAGCGCAGGACCAGTCTACACTGTCCAACACACCAGCAACAACAGCAGAACCAGCAGCAGCAGAACCAGCAGCAGCAGCACCAGCGCTCAAAACTTCTCTGATAGTTTCAGTAACATCAGTCTCAACATGTTGGTGACAGCGAGTGGTTTCTCAGGACACAGTCTGCAGTCTGTATGAGAGTTTTAACAAACTCTCTGTCACTGTGCGGCTGTGGTGCTAATGCTATGTTTTTAGCTTCCCTTTACAGCAGCAGCACTAACCTCTCGCTCTGGGCACAAACAGACTGCTGTGTCTTCAGGGCCAGACATGTTTATCCTCTGTCTTCTCAATTCTCCGCTCAAAGTGCCGTATTTTTCGCAGAGTCTCGTAGTCTAAGATGTTATTCCTTCAGCACTGCTCTGGTGGAACCACTACAGACGCACTGGACTCGCTGCTGAGTGGTGCGGATTTTTAAAATGTATTATTATAATTTTACATAAATAAGCCGCGGGCCGTGTCAAATGTCTTGGCGGGCCGTTTCCGGCCTGCGGGCCGTATGAATGACACCCTTGATTTAGACCTAAAAGTATTTCATTTCTGCAAAAAATGTGACTAAAGACATCGTCAATACTTGATCATGAATCACATGCATGTGATATTCTGAATCGTAACGCTGAAAAAATTCTGTGTTTGCTGTAAAAGTAGATTGTGATAAAGTTTGGGAACCCCTGATTGAAAGAATGGGTCAAATGCAGGGATACATTTCATGTCCACAGACTGTAAAGGAGTGGGTTAAACAAGTGCTGAACAAACTCAAACTGTAGGAATGGGATCTGCAGGGTCACTCACGGTAACTGCCTAGCAACCAACGACCAATCAGGTGCTGGTCTGTCCCCCCTCACGCTATTCGCAGCTAAGGCCGACATCAGAAGAGGGTCAGTTGTTAGGCCTCATATCTCCATTTACTAAGAATCAAATACAAACACCAGCGTCCTACAGAGCGCGACACCACATACGGTTTATCTCAACATGGTTTGCTTTTCAATGGGAATGGAGCCAGAGCGAGTTAGAGCAGAACTTTGTCCACGAGCACCTCCCTGATAGGCTTCATTGAGCTAGCGGGTTAGCATTGTCCTCCCGTATACAGTCCATGACAGTCACAATGAAAGAATTGATCATTGTGTGGACGCAGGTGTTTGACAAACTCTAATGAAATGTAGAATGTGTGAAATTGATTCTTGCATAATACAATACAACATTTATGATAGGGCTGGGCGATATGGCTGAAACCTAGTCACAATATAAGTAATTCATATCGGTTGATAACGATATATATTGATTATTATTTTTTCACCTGAATAAATACGTTTGTCGTGTCGGCTAACACACCTTGTTTACAGTCACGGGGGAATGGGGCGAGAGGAATATGTTCACAAGCAGTCTCCCCCATAGTTAGTCCTGGTGTAATCCTGGTTTAGTCCTGTTTTGTGTCACCATGACGGCTCCGTGGGGCCGCTCTCTGATAGCCGCACGGAGGAAAAAGTTCATCTCTTGCTTTCGCCGCATGCATCTGGTCTCTGTGTCCACTGCCTCTGCCACAGAGGCCTATGCCTCGCACGGACATGTATAACCATTGACACGGCATTGAAAAACAATCTTAGATCCATGTACGCTACGCATGGTGCAGTAGTTGTTTTTACATTTCCCAGAATGTTTTGCAGTTCATACTCGACTGTGATAGGTTGAGAAGTCTCTGCCTACATCCCCCAGAATGCCGCGCTTATGACTCGGCTTTACTTCCTGTGTTTTCTTCCTGTTTTTTCTTACTGAGTGAAGTTAAACTATCGACCCTGTTTTCTATTGATATTGAACACGTGTCTATCGCGATATATATCATCATCGTTTTATCGCCCAGCCCTAATTTATGATATACGTTATGGTGTGGATTCTTTGAATACTTTTCCTGTTTTTTATTTTAAATATATATTGGTTCTTTTCAGTGTAAACTCATGTCTGTACTGTTGATTGTCTTTCCTGCCCTAACATGTTTCACCAGTGTATCCCTTTGTGTGTGTCTGTGTGTGTATCTAAACCCTGTGCTGCTCTTGTTGTTGGTCCATTGTGTTTTTGTCCCTGTTTCGTCTCGGTTTTGCTTTTTTGTTTGGACTTCTATTTCCAATTTGAATTTTATATTTTTGGCAGTCCTACATTTTGGGTCCTTCCTCCTTTTTCAAAATGCGACAATATATTTAGTATCGTTGTCATTTGTGACTAATGTGCGTCAGTTAAAGATAATTATGACTTTTATTTTTGACTCGCTAATGCCTTCAGCTGCTGTGGAGTTGACAGAAGTGAGTGACACATCCTGAAGCAGAAGCAACAACACTCATTCGATACTATTTCCATCAAAGCAGCCGTCGTTCTGAAGAAATTACATTCATTAAATTCGTAAAACTTTTCAACTCTAATTGTTGTCGATACGCAGCAATGACTTGAGAAATATTTTTTTATTTATGTACTTGTCTTGTGCACACCGGGGACTTTTCCAAATGTATTCCAATGTGGTTTTACTGCAAATGGCAAATAAAATGAATCTATTTTTCAATGTAAAGTTTGTAGAAAACAGTTTGTTATTGATTCTATATAAATGATCATTCTGTCCATGTCCCCATGAACAGCAAGAAGCAATATTAGAATACAGGACTGAAGTAGGTGGTGTTTGTGTGTGTGTGACTGTGTGTGTGTTTGTTTGTGTGTGTGTGTTTGTTTGTGTGTGAGTGTGACTGTGTGCGTGTGTTTGTTTGTGTGTGTGTGTGACTGTGTGTGTGTCCCAGCCATTGCTCCCAGAGAGATCCGTGACGAAGATCCTCAAGTTAGGGTTCATGTGCAGTTCAGCGCATGGGTCATGGGGCGGTCATCAGTCCACGGTCAGCCCCTCCCCCTCTCTCTGCCTCTCTCACCCTCCCCTGCCTCCCCCACATCCATGCGCCTCTCTGCTCTGATCACAGCTCCTCTGACTCCTGTCTGACCCCGGCAGACTCACACTGGGGAGATGTGAGGCTTTCATTCAATTGAACACATTATGTAAGTATCAGACTATCAGTCACAACTTCACCTGGACCTGGACCTGCTCCTGGATCTGGACCTGTTCTCGGACCTTGACCTGAACCTAGACCTACTCCTGGACCTGGACCTGCACCAAACAACCAATGGAAACACAGAAACCTCCTCAAAAACATCCAACTCAAATGTTATATTCAACCTAATATTGTGACAACTTGCAGCTCAATGTCTTTAAATTAATGTTTTTTTCTGTGATTCTAAAGAATCAATTGATCAGGTGTATATTTAGACCCCCGTCTCATAAAGGTGTAGAACAGGAGGTGCAGAACAGGCGGTGTAGAACAGGCACACAGGAGGTGTAGGACAGGAGGTGTAGAACAGGTGATGTAGAACAGGCGGTGTAGAACAGGTGGTGTAGAAAAGGAGGTGTAGAATAGGAGGTGTAGAAAAGGAGGTGTAGAACAGGAGGTATAGAACAGGTGGTGTAGAATAAGTGGTGTAGGACAGGCGGTGTAGGACAGGCGGTGTAGGACAGGCGGTGTAGGACAGGCGGTGTAGGACAGGCGGTGTAGGACAGGCGGTGTAGAACAGGCGGTGTAGAACAGGCGGTGTAGGACAGGCGGTGTAGGACAGGCGGTGTAAGACAGGCGGTGTAGGACAGGCGGTGTAGAACAGGCGGTGTAGGACAGGCGGTGTAGAACAAACAGGAGGTGTAGGACAGGCGGTGTAGGACAGGTGGTGTAGAACAGGAGGTGTAGAACAGGTGGTGTAGAACAGGCGGTGTAGGACAGGCGGTGTAGAACAGGCGGTGTAGAACAGGCGGTGTAGAACAGGCGGTGTAGGACAGGCGGTGTAGAACAAACAGGAGGTGTAGGACAGGCGGTGTAGGACAGGTGGTGTAGAACAGGAGGTGTAGAACAGGTGGTGTAGAACAGGCGGTGTAGAACAGGCGGTGTAGGACAGGCGGTGTAGAACAAACAGGAGGTGTAGGACAGGCGGTGTAGGACAGGCGGTGTAGGACAGGCGGTGTAGGACAGGCGGTGTAGGACAGGCGGTGTAGGACAGGCGGTGTAGAACAGGAGGTGTAGCACAGGAGGTGTAGGACAGGCGGTGTAGGACAGGCGGTGTAGGACAGGCGGTGTAGGACAGGCGGTGTAGAACAGGAGGTGTAGAACAGGCGGTGTAGAACAGGCGGTGTAGAACAAACAGGAGGTGTAGGACAGGCGGTGTAGGACAGGCGGTGTAGGACAGGCGGTGTAGGACAGGCGGTGTAGGACAGGCGGTGTAGAACAGGCGGTGTAGAACAGGCGGTGTAGAACAGGCGGTGTAGAACAGGCGGTGTAGAACAGGTGGTGTAGAACAGGAGGTGTAGAACAGGAGGTGTAGAACAGGCGGTGTAGAACAGGAGGTGTAGAACAGGCGGTGTAGGACAGGCGGTGTAGAACAGGCGGTGTAGAACAGGCAGTGTAGAACAGGAGGTGTAGCACAGGAGGTGTAGAACAGGCGGTGTAGAACAGGCGGTGTAGAACAGGCGGTGTAGAACAGGCGGTGTAGAACAGGTGGTGTAGAACAGGAGGTGTAGCACAGGAGGTGTAGAACAGGAGGTGTAGGACAGGCGGTGTAGGACAGGCGGTGTAGAACAAACAGGAGGTGTAGGACAGGTGGTGTAGAACAGGCGGTGTAGAACAGGCGGTGTAGGACAGGCGGTGTAGAACAGGAGGTGTAGCACAGGAGGTGTAGCACAGGAGGTGTAGCACAGGAGGTGTAGGACAGACGGTGTAGGACAGGCGGTGTAGGACAGGCGGTGTAGAACAAACAGGAGGTGTAGGACAGGCGGTGTAGGACAGGCGGTGTAGGACAGGCGGTGTAGGACAGGCGGTGTAGAACAGGCGGTGTAGAACAGGAGGTGTAGCACAGGAGGTGTAGCACAGGAGGTGTAGCACAGGAGGTGTAGGACAGGCGGTGTAGAACAGGAGGTGTAGAACAGGCGGTGTAGAACAGGCGGTGTAGAACAGGCGGTGTAGAACAAACAGGAGGTGTAGGACAGGCGGTGTAGAACAGGCGGTGTAGAACAGGCGGTGTAGAACAGGCGGTGTAGAACAGGCGGTGTAGAACAGGTGGTGTAGAACAGGAGGTGTAGCACAGGAGGTGTAGCACAGGAGGTGTAGAACAGGCGGTGTAGAACACGAGGTGTAGAACATGAGGTATAGCACAGGAGGTGTAGCACAGGCGGTGTAGCACAGGCGGTGTAGCACAGGCGGTGTAGCACAGGCGGTGTAGCACAGGCGGTGTAGAACAGGCGGTGTAGGACAGGCGGTGTAGCACAGGAGGTGTAGCACAGGCGGTGTAGAACAGGAGGTGTAGCACAGGAGGTGTAGAACAGGCGGTGTAGAACAGGAGGTGTAGCACAGGAGGTGTAGCACAGGAGGTGTAGAACAGGCGGTGTAGAACAGGCGGTGTAGAACAGGCGGTGTAGAACAGGCGGTGTAGAACAGGCGGTGTAGAACAGGCGGTGTAGGACAGGCGGTGTAGCACAGGAGGTGTAGCACAGGAGGTGTAGAACAGGTGGTCTTCCCCAATATTCATTTTTTTTGGGTTGACTGAAATCTTGAACTTCTCCATAACATCAACAGAGACGGCACGGTGGCTGAGTGGATAGCACTCTCGCCTCTCAGCAAGAAGGTCCTGGGTTCGAATCCCGGCCGGACCAGGGCCTTTCTGAGTGGAGTTTGCATGTTCTCCCCGTGTCTGCGTAGGTTTCCTCCGGGTACTCCGGTTTCCCCTACCACTAAAAAAATATGTCCAATAGTTCTGGCATGCGCTTCCTGTACTGGCGACCCTGCTCCCATCTCTGTGTGGAGTGAGAGACAAATGCCCAAAATTAACAATTGTAAACCGCTTTGAGACTCAGATCTGCAGTGAAAAGGCGGTATATAAATAATAACTTACTTACTTACTTACTAACAGAGACGAGGGGCCTCCACCCTGACTCTTTGGGACTCACTGCTCCAGAGACCACAGGGGGCTGTGGGGGGAGTCTGACGGACTCAGACGCCAAAGTCACTGACTCTGACGAAGGCAAAGTCTAATCATGTGGATTAAGCAGAACGAGCTTTTCTACACTTTGGTGTCATTAGAAATATCATTTAAACCTTGAACATAAGGACACATTAGTAACTTTTTACATTCAGTGTAAAATAGTTCCCTAAACGTTCCTAATCTGGGGCGACAGTAGCTCAGTTGGTAGAGCATTGGCCTTAAGCCCAGAAGGTCGTGGGTTCAATTCCCACCTCTGCACCTTCTCCACCGACTCCCACTGATGACTGCTGTCGTTGTGTCCTTGGGCAAGACACTTAACCCCACTTTGCCCAAAACCCCCACTGAAAGATCAAGGCTATGCTCACACTCAGAGAGCAGCCGTCCTCCTGTGGACTCACCACCTGCAGAGGATCAGTGAGGGGCTGGTGCTATGAGACTTGGGTGGCATCTCTGACTGCCACCCCCCTGACCCAGAAATGGATTAAAGGGTAGAAAATGGATGGATGGATGGACGTTCCTAATCTTAAATTAGACAGAACATATCCCAGATACAACAACAGATGATAGATGGAAAGTAGCTAAGGCTAAATCTGGTACAGCCATCTTTTTAATGTAACCTCAGATTGTCCTTACTAAACTAAACTAAACTAAACTAAACTGAACTACAAACACACACCAGTGCTAGACCTGCCCTCACTGTCTCTTACAGGTTAATTCCCACTCAAATGTGATTCCGATTCCAAATATTTCTCCCATAACTCGCCCTCCACGTGCTCCATGTTTTGAGTAATTGGACTAAGAATGAAACGGCTGCTGCTCTGTTTGTGACGCAGAACAGAGATATTCAGAGTCATGCTTTCAGTTTGTGTTTCCTGCCTTGTGTGGAGGCAGCAGAAGATCTTCATATCAGGGTTCCTCATCACCAGTGATGGGAAAAACGCCGTTGAAATTACTTATTTCAGTAACGAGTAATCTAACTAATTACTTTGACTGTAACTAAAACGCTGTTTTTTTAACTTCATGATAGGACTCTTGTCATGCGAGAAAGGAGGATGAGAAAACCTCTCAGCAATTATTGGTTAATGTAAAACATATTCCTTTACAATCTACATGTCTACAGTTGAGAGGATGCGTCATAAATTGTGTTTTTGAAACAAATATGGGTCTTGATTGCGCTCAACCACGGCTTGTAATGTCACTTTGTTACCATGGCGGCGCATGAACATGCTGCGGCTTCTCTCTTGACAAAGTTTCGCAGTTTTTGTGATCCGCATTGTTTTGCAAGATGTTGTTGTACATCTTTGCCATGTTTTTGTGGAGTTCAGCGGATTTTTTACTGCCAAAGCTCTTTGCTAGCAATGAACAGAGGATGTGTTTTTAAAAGTAAACACACAGTTAGCATCTGAGCTAAAGGCTTTTTGAGCAGTATTTAAGATCTACAAATCCAGAGATATCATCTTCTGAAGCGCTGACAGGTCACCGAGGGCCCCACGCATCTGCAGCACAGTGGAGGCGTCACAAGAGGCGCTACAGGAGTCCCGGCCTCCGTTGTGGGCAACTTCTACAGAGGGACTGTAGAGAGCATCCTGACCAGCTCCATCACTGGGTGGCACGGCACCAGCACTGCCTCCTGCCGAAGGAGCAGAGAAGATCTGTGGAGCCCCTCTCCCCACCATTAAGGACATGTACTCCACCCGCCTCACCCGCAAAGCCGTCAGAATCACACAGGCTCTTCAGGGTAATGCCTTCAGGGAGGAGACTGCAGAATTTACGGAACAGTTCCAGTCGACTTAAAAACAGTTTCATTCACAAGGCCATCAGGAAGCTGGAACACGAGAGTAGTTTATGGAAACACCCGTTTTGTTTTATTTTTTTAAACTCATCGGACTTATTTCCAAATGGAGGATTACATACATCTGCGCTCAGACTATTATCTGGACTTACACATGAAACTGGTCTGAACTGGTCTGTGCAGTTTATGTATAAGGTAAGGCCCATAACACACTTTTAAATGTTTTTTTCATACTTTTGTGTTTTGTATGAACAAACAATGCGGGCATGAAACATATTCTGCTGTAGCCAAACTATTTGTAAATAAGCCTCTCTGTAGGTCCTGATTTATATGATATATGTTTATCTGATCGGTGGCACTGCCCAATCACCAACCTCACCGCACGTCACTGGTGTTTCCGCCAGAGATGGGGACTCGCGAGTCGGACTCGAGTCGCTATTTTTAGAGACTTGCGACTCGACTCGGACTCGTCCCCTTAAGACTCGGACTCGTTGTTTTCGGACTTGTGAACATTGCGAGTCCTGACGCTCCAGATCCATCCATTTCACAGGCTGGTAAGGGTGCGCTCTCTTTGGCTGTGCTCGTTCCTCGACTGTGCACACTCTATGGTGGTGTGCTCTCTTTATTTTTGAGGGCAAAGTCTGTCTTCTGTGACTTTAATGAAAAGATTTAAAATCAAAATCGTCCAAAGCAGGAAATAAAATCGAGATTTTACTTTTTTGCCATATCGCCCAGCCCTAGCCCCAATGTGAAGCTGCAGTGAGTGTGAAGTGGAGCTAATGAACAGATAGAAATCTGATCATTCATATACATTGGCTTATAACCAAAGCAGCAAAGAATAGGAAAGGAATAGGGTTTCTATAATGTCTTTCTGATTCATAATAGTGGATTAAAATACAATGAGTTTGAACACAGCCCTGCACCTTTCTCATCTCCCCGTCATATAGAAACCTGAGGACATGGCCAGTTCACAGCTAATTCCGACCGTTCACTCAGTTTTTCTGTCCCAGAGACAAAATGTGTCCAAAATAACACGGGAAAGTCCATTAACAAGGAAGAAGTCGGCGATCTCCGCACCATACAAGTGGCATGTGTGGTTTGTTTGTATCCACGGAGGGAAACCTAGCCCTATTGCAAGCGCACGTCATTTTGGCCACTTTTGAGCCGGGACCCGCCCCGATTGGTTGTATCCATTTCGAACCAATCAGGAAGCGAGGGAGGCGGGTGTTCTAGGTAGGTGTTGGTGAAGTCAAGAGTTTGAGCCGAATTTGCTGGTTGTAGTTTGAAAATGGCGGCAAATTTGATAGTAAAGTAATCTTTTCTGGTTTTGCTCCAAATATCTAGAAATTGAAGCTGGCAAGAGGAATGTTTAGCAGATTCTATTGCTGCTGATGTTGTGGCGCTACTCCCCACGGGCTCTCTTAGTGGCAAAGAAGATGCTAGGCTAATTGCTCAATGCTAGCGACTCACTCGGGTGCATTACATATGTCACAGTAAACTCAGATCCAATTGTTTCAATCTGCAAAAGGAGTTAACCCCTCTCACCTGTGAAGGGAGCTTAATGGAGCAAATCCTGACCTTAGTGCAAAATGAAACGAGTACGATGGTGTGCTAAGACCAGGCTACTGCTGAGTGTCACTGGTGGAGTAATGGAACCGTTTTGGTCTTTATAGCAGCTGACGTGACCTTTGTCCGCCTCACACGCAGACAGATGAGCTGCGCTGGCCTTTTCTCCCATAAAATCAGCCGGGGGGGGCGGGGGGTTGGAGGAGGGCAGGGGGGCAGGGCACAAGGGGAGGGGGGGTCTAAAGTAACCTTATCATGTAATTGGGTTCAAGGTCAGAGCCACTGACCCGGGTCAAGGGGCCTCAGCGGGGGTCAGCGTGTCACAGAGAGCTTTAATCAGTGATGAGTCTGAGATCCACTGCAGAATAATGTGGAGCCGACAGTGATACAGGACCGGCTTTACGCTTTAGACTTACATTAGACTTTATACTGATATCAGACTAAGCTCATTACAACTTGTAACTTACAAAAACCTATTTTAACATCACTTTCTCTCCATAAATAATACAATGAGTTTTTTGGTTTCCTTAACCATTTGGTGGATCATCTTTTGATGATCGAAGCTTGGAACTGAAATCTACCTTTTTGTGGCATTTCACTTGGTTTCAAACTGCATTTTCAACCATTTGATAAAGGCCTATGATTTTTTTTTTATAAATTGGGGTTCAAAAAAGAACAAATTATGTGTGTTAGTAGTGTTCTATATCTTACAAAACTAAAAATAGAAAAAAAAAATTGTTTGGTAAAATATGGTATCTTTTTACTCAAAAGAAAAGTCCCTGTGAGTCACTATTTAACTCTTTGGTTTGAGTGAAGGTGGTCCTCTCATTCAATGGTACAACTGAAGATGTAGAGGCAGAAATGCATCGCATTCATAGATTGTAAATATTAACGGACGTAGTCACGCCTATCTACTCCGTTCAAACTAATGTGCCATCACTTTCGCCGTCTCTGGGCAGTTTCAAAATGGCCGCGGGGGCAGGAAAATGTGAAAAAGCGCATCTGCACGAGCCCCACTCATTTAATGAGCGCCTTCAAAATTCACAACGACTAAACTAGACTGGTCCAAAAAAATAATCTCCCCTCAGCATTGACACACATGTGGAACGTAGCGTTGGGCCAAGAGCCAAATTTCGGACCATCCTGTAAAGCCATTTTCAAGAGGTAAGAAGATACGTACACTAGCATTGGATAATTCTTATTCTGGTTCCACCCAGTGGGGGAG